CAGTGCACAGCACAAAGTAGATGAAGTTGCTGTCTGTAGGACTTCATTCATATCTACTAAAGACATGGAAACGTGGCAGAAGTATGAAGCAGGGAACTGCAGAACAAGAAAGGATGAGCTTAGAGTAACCCAATGCTGCTTTAACAAACTGCCCCTGCCCCCGAGCTCTACTGTGGTACTAAGTCATGGAAAAAGCATTTTTACCAATGTGTTCCCAGAAACACCTTTTTCAACCATATAGCTAGCCTGAGAGAACGGACTGCATCCAACGGCAATAGTTTTGTTATTAGTATATGGGACGAGATTAAATTCCAAGTGCTCTGCAAAATCGGGCACTTGCTTTCTCAGAATGGCCACCTCCACTTAGCTGACCCCTCTGAGTGCCCTGGTGCTCATCCACGTGCCTCAATGCCACATGTGCACACCGGGAATGACAATGCCTCTTCAGCTGGCAGGTGCTATGCAGCCATTAACACTTGCAGTTGAGATGCTAGAACGACACTTGTAGGCAGAAAAGCCTACAAGGAAATGGGTAGCACTGGAGGAGCACTTGCTACTGAGTGAGTGCTAGTCATCCTGTGCACTGCATGCATCGGGGAGTCTGTGGGAAACACAAGGCATGACGATGTAGTTAGAAGATGATGACATAATGTAACTCACAAAGGGAAACAAATTCATGTTGCATGGGTGACTAAATATAGCATTTCTTTTCCACAAGGACCTGACTTTGCACCCTTAACAGACTTGCATGTAATCTTTCTCCTTCTTCACTGAAGATACAAAACCAGCTGTAAAATATTGACCAGATAGCTGCCACAAACTGGTTACATATTAGGAGCAAACTAGCTCCCAAATGATTTAAGTTCATATCCTTTCCATGCATAAAACCGTATTTAGACAAGTAAATTTCCCTGCACGTTAAAGGAAGCTGTTGCATGCATGTCTATTTTGCATGTGCAAAAGAAAATTTTGCATACACAATGGGTATACATACAAATGGCTTTTGATTGCAATGTAAGTACTGCCTTTAGAAAATTGCGTCCCATTAAATAATTCATGTTATCCTCCTAGCAGAAGAAATCCAAAAGTGTCTAGTGAGGAACTAAATCAGTGAAAGTGGGGATTCAGAAAATATTGTCCTCTGTGTTGCAACAGTAACACTTCATTATTGGTTTATACAGAAAACAAACAAATTGGATAATTTGTTGCTCAGATAAGCCTTGGTTAATATAACCATACAGAATGCAAGGGGAAATGGGAGTGTGCATTCCCCTGCCTAGATACCTCTCCTGACACAGAGCAGGAGGGCTCTGCCATGCTAACTCTCACTTTGCAAAGGGCAGATGCAGATTTGGCTGCATTAACACCAATAAACTGGCTACTAGAGCAGACCCACAGCATGGGGAGGATGCAATGGCTACACCTGGGGAAGAGCACTAAGAAATTGCTCCAACCCAACTAGCGCAAGAAAGCAGAGACAAATTTTGAAAACCTGCTGGGCAAGATACATCTATATTTCAAGGCTCAGACCAGGTAGTCCTGCCTAATTGACAGTAGGGGCTGGCTTTTTTATAATGTCAGAAATTTTGAGAGAATACATAATTTTATAGAAGGCAGCAGGAAACATTTGAGCTCCAAATTGTGAACAGTGTTGCTGGTATAAAGCTACTGTTTTTAGAGTACATTCAAATCCATTATGCATTGAAGATCTAAATAAAATAGCTGAGCAACTAGAAAATTACATAGGAAAGAAAGAAGAAGGTAATGTGTGGGGACTGAATTATTGTAGCTTGGTAGAAACTGTTCTTCTAAGTGTTATCTCCATCTTCAAACTCTGTATGGGATTCCTGCTTGTTCCTGGACTCGTACCGACTGAGACTAGGATACAGGTAATGGCCTTATTATCTGATAGTTTGTAATATCTACTACTTGATGAGAAATTACATTTTAAAAAGCTTGATATTAATTTAAAACCTACAAGGTTTTGCTCATTATTTCTGAGACAGCCTATTCAACTCCTAGTCAGCAGCTACAGCAAAGTATGCTGACCCCATTGATGAGGTAATCAATTATGCTGGAACAAAACAAACTAGTAACTAGAATGAAAGGAAGCCTATGGTTTTATATAGAGCCAGAGAAAACAGGGAGAAAGAGCATTTGGCAAATGACACAGGACAAAACATTTCATTTCCAGGATTCAAGAAAATAGTATTTTAAATTTGTATCAAATGTGATTTACAAAATCAATGTTCTTCTATGCTGGACAGCTTTACTAGGAGTGAATGAAGACAAACGGGGGCACGCATCCAAAGCTGTGGCTCTACAGGCATGTGGCACTCTGGAATGGAGGTTTACATGCCAGCAACTGCAATTATCCCAACTAGCAATGATTTAGCATTCTGTGATGTCTAGAGTGTAAAAAATCCAGGCTGTACCTTTATATCACAACCATCTGAAACCCAGGTTTAAATTCTGCCTTTAAAGAGACTGCAGCACAGCTTGCTGCTGTGTGCACGTTGGAGAATAAAAATGATTAATTCTGCCCATCAGTGAAGTTTTCGCTTATGAGTATCACAAGCCTTTGCTGTGTGCAGCAGAAAAAAAATGAAAATCATTTTTATGCTTAGTTTCAAATCCTTATTCAAACCCATGTAACAGTGCTAATTACTAAACACTGAGAAGACTGAATAAAATATCATAAAATGCTGACTCAAAAAAAACCAAACAAAAACCCCACAAAACAAAACACCTTAAACCTAAGTGCATTTACCATATTTTTTTAACATATGATTTTACAATCCCAAGTTTAGAAAGGATTTCCATGTTAAAATTAACAGAAGAAAGTAATTGGGAAAGAAGCGAATCAAAATGGAATTATATCATCTAATACAAGCTCCCATGATGAGCTGCACATCTTTAAAAAGAGCAGAATGATCAATTCCTCACAAGAAAGAGAGACACAAAGATTGGCTTGGGAGAAAAAGATTTCCTTTTGGAATCATCACAGCGGGAGCCTGAGGAATCTTTGCACCCAGAGACCTAATGTTGACTGTTAAGCTAACAAAACTAGTCTGGAAGAAGAAAAAAAAGGTAAGACTTCATCTTTTCATCCCCTTCCACTTCACTGCTCATCTCCCTAGCGCTTATCTTGATCCCAGTTTTCTTTTTCTGAGGATTTTTTTTTTCTTCCTCCCCCCTTCTTTTCTTTTTTTTGATGCTGATGGGGGGAGCAGCACGGGTGCCTGATGCCAGCTGCGTCCTAACAGGGACCCTGCCTTTCTCATCTGCATTGTCACATTCAGTAATTACAGAATATTCCATAAAGGACCCGTAAGGGGTCAGTGATAGAGATAGCGCTGCAAATTCAGCATGGCCCTCCGAGCCTCGCAGGGGACAGGTACCGAGTACTGCAGCTGGTGTGGGCCAGCCCAAGCGTTTGCCAGCACGTCTGGTCGTGCTAAAGGGATTAAGACATCAAAAGAAGGGCAATGCCCTGTGCCACAGGAAAATTCAGAAATAAAATATGGAAATAGGCTACCTAAGCCAACTGCTTGCTGCCCAGTTTGCCACGAGGGTGTAATGCAAAACTTGGCGTGACTGAGGAGGAACCCCCAGTGAGGATTTCTGGAGAACGTGCTCTAGGATGCCTCACCACGAGACAACAACAGTGTGGCTATAGGGACATTACCAAACCAGAGACTAAACTAACTGTAAGAATACAATAGGCACAACATACACATATTATTCTTGTATTTATACATGGAAAAATTCTAATGCAATGTATTATTCCTCTGAGGCTTTATGCCTTATTCTTCTTTCAGTTACACTACAGCAGACCTGCCCTGCACAACTCAGACTCTCTTGAACAGTAACTTTTACGCTAACACCACACAAAAAACAGTCAGCAATGGCTTATCATATTGGGAAAGTAAGGACAACTACAGGCTGTCTATAAGCTGTAGGGATACAGTGAGAGAGATCTTACCACACATCTCAGTCTGCACAATTCTCCCCTTAGAGTTCAAAACACTCTGGGGAAAGCACTCCATCCCTCCAGATGGTGCTACAAAGACCATAGATCTGAATGAAGTGCAACTAAAATATAGACTATCAGGTACAGCTGTACATTACGCTGAAAACAACTGTATTTTCCAGTGTTCTTGTTATCTTAAAAAAGCATCTTGAATAATTACTCACACAATTCAAAGGAATAAAATCAGATATTCTTGGCCAAGTTAGCTTGGTGTATCATTGAGTAATTTGCCTCATTTTATCTACTAATGGCATGTCTAGAAATAAGAAAAAACTGAATTTTAACCTTGAAATATGAACTCTACAAACCCATATTTCAGTGTATGCATTGTAAGCTCACACCAGGGAATACTTTCAAAAATAAAAATAAACTTCCAAACTTTGAATGCACTTTAAGGGTCAAAAAGCAATGGGAACAAATGCATTATTTAATCATAAAAACCACACTCGATTCAGTGCAAGACTGAGGAGGGAGCTCAGGCTCCCAGAGGCAAGTGAAGTGAGGACTGCTCTGAGGGACTGCTGCAAACGGGGCTGGAGCTGAGCTCTCCCTCAGCCTGGCCTCTGCCTGGGCGAGGTGGGGAGGCTGAAGAGCTGGAGAAGACAGGCAGCTCTTAATAAGAACAAGCTGCCATTTTCTCAGGAACAGTGAAGCAGAGAGGAAAAATGGTGGGGAACATCTTGCTTACAAAAAATGAAGCCATTAGTCAAAACTGAGAAGAAAGACCTTTAAAAGCATTGGCTACTCACACATTGCTTTGACTCCATGATAAAATTCTTATCCTTTTTAATGGCATGTTGTTAGCAGCTACATCTTTATTACAGTCTGTGTTTCTCCTTCATCCTCATTAAGAGTAAGGTCCATTTCTTACCTGAGCAACACAGGCTCTGCTCTCATTACCTTGACTCAAAGCTAACAGTAACTTTTAAAAAAATACTCACACTAATCATCAGCTCTAGATGCTTACCCTGAGGTAGTTGAGGGTGAAGTTTGTCAGACCCATTCGAGTGATGTTTTTGGACAGCTGCTCCAGCACCTGAGGGTCTTGTGCCTAAACAACAGAGGAAAAAATAATTTTCACTTTGTTTTTTGTCTATTTGTTTTTCCTCTATGTGCTTGGTTGAGTGCAGGGAAGGTTCTCTGAAGAGAGATGCCATTCCTATGGAAAAACACATTGATGCTAAATTTATGTCATAAGCCATAGAGTTCTGTTTGCACAGGAAAATGCAGAACCTTATTGAAATTGGAGCAGAATAAAGACTGTTTTCCAGTATCTTCCTTCTGTCCCTACCCATTCAAGAGACAGACCTAGGAGGTCTGATCATGCAAAGGTGTGCAAGCAAGCAGGGCCCCACCAAAGAGCTTCCTGAGGGATCACAGTCCACTTTGAGCCTTCCATTTGTTGGCTGGGAGTCCCAGGAGACTAAGCAGATAAAGGCAGGAATAAAGAAGGTATTGCTTTCTTACTGTAGATAAGAAACTGAAGCAGAGAGACCTCATCAAGGCGCCTTCAACAGAGCTGATCACATATGTGGCATTAAGCACAGGCTGGAGAACCGTTCTGGTCTAAGTTGTTTTCCCAGAATTAAACAGGAAAAATGCAAGCACAGTCCTTCTCTGACCCTAGCCAGGGGCTTTACCTGTGAGACCAGCCTCCTCTTTAAAATGAGATCAGTCTCATTACTAAAATTAATACCTGCTGGTTGCTGCCTAACCTGGTCTACTCTCTTTGAATTGCGGTCCTCTAAATACATATTGTTGCCCATGGCCATCCTCATTGTCCCTTAATGGGATACTGTTGACGAGTTCAGAAGATCAGCCCTCTAAAATAACTCTGAGACAGAAATGCGGGGGCAGATTTTCAAAGGTATTTTCTTCAGGCCTGTAACAACATTTTCAAAAAAGTCCAGCCTGCTTAAGTTATTTAAAATTCCTCACTAAGAATATATCTTTATCTACAGATATCTAAGTAACTTCATGTCAAAATATGGGTATGTATTTGGGCCTGTGTTCTTACCCTCCATAAAACCATAGTCCTGCAATTAATTTGGTATATGGAGCACTACTAATCTGAATGATTCTACAGTGTAGAACTGAAAGTGGCAATAAGACTCTGCTTTTTGTTTCTCCCCAACAATTTACTTTGTAATAGTTTGACTTCAACCTGTAGAATATTTAATATTTTAATATTCCATTGTGTGTGCTTTCATGCAATTACAATTAAAAAAAATCTTGAAATGTGAAAAAAGAAGATCTGGATTAAACTTCTAAGGGTTTCTAAGTAAATATATGGCAATTACTGAAAATAAGTTCTCATGCAAGGGTTACTATTTAATTTAAAGACTAAATATAATTCATACCTACAATTATGATAATTCACTGAATTTAGTGTAGTTCATATCAATAAGAACAGATTATGGGCCCAAATCGTACAGACCACCAAATGGGATTAAAAGGAAAACTATGTGCTAAAACAAAATGAAAACATAGCAACAGTAGCAACAATAGAGCACTGAGAAATAAGGGAATGATGAACGAACTTGTAAATGGATGCAGTTGCAGGCAAAACAAAATATTTATAGTTAATTGCCTTGGGTGTGAAATTTTCTGGAGTTCTTCATAAACCTAATCTCATCTCTTTGCATTAGGGCAAGTGAAAAAAGGATTACTTACATGCATGGCTAGAATGCTGCGTGGGACTAATTCTCTGTACTGTCTAATAGTAAAGTGCCATGTTTTTATTCTCATAAGATCATCAAAAGTAAACTCCAAGATAAGACGTCCTTCTGTGCATACCTAGAATACATAAAATGCATGAAATAAATTCCCAGGAATTTTGTTTTCAATGGTATTGTATCATCGATTAAACAACATTCAAAAGTATCAGAGCAGCAGTCTATTGTTCATCTCTGCTAGACTAATTGTTTTTCTTTCTCTTGGGGAGAAAAAATGAATGTGGGAAAACGACTTCATAGGACTTCACGGAGACAGTAACTTATAATACTATAGATTTTATAAACATAGAATATTGTGTGCGCTAAATCTTATTTATTGCATCAAT